TCTTTGTCTTCTTCATCCACGGTACCATCTGAGTTGGGAAGTACAGTTTAAATATATTTCTCTCAAATCCTCAGCCAAGAACAAGTTCCACAGCTGATATTTCTGTCCCTATCTACTTCTAATCCCCTCTCTGGTCTTTCCTTTTCACCTTCATCGCCTCTCTAGTTACTGCTTTTCCAACATCTAGCTCTTTACCACATCAGCATTTATAGAACTTAGAATTTACATCACTTGTAGTTGGAAAATCACTTGTCTACAGTACAACAAGATACAAGGTGCAGAAGTTGGGTATGTCTCTATGCCTAGCAAGACCTGGTTCAAAATTCAAATCCAGAAAATCTTCCCCAACTAAATGTGATCCTCTCTGACCATTCTTTTACTTCACATTCTGCCAGGGAAACAATGTTAAGTCATTTGTTAAATACTGCTTTATAGGTCCCTTCTCATATACACATCAAACCCAATCTCCATTTGGTTGATTTCCCCAGAGGGACAGCCACACATCAGACCTCAGCCTCAGGTGGAAATAGTCCATTACTCGTAGCCTAAATTCAAATTTCCAAACATAATTTCCTATCTTTCTGCTTCTCACATCTTCCTTTTTCTAAATCTGAAATTAGCTGTTTCTGAAGAGAGATGAGATGGACGTGCCCCCGAGGAGGAGGTTGACCTCCTTGGTCCTCAGTCTGGGGGACGACACGCAGACCTCTACTAAGCCTCCGTAGTTCAAAAGACGGTCTTCGACTCTGCAGACCTGCATTTGTTTTTTCCAATGCACTCGAGGAGAGCAGGCTCAGAAGGCCTCACTCACAAAATACTGATGCACAAACCAGATACCCACCTATTAATTAACAGGAAGAAATAAAACTTTGAAAAGATCACTACCTAGATGAAAATCTGCATGGGAAGCCACATAAAACTGAAAACTGTTTAATAGGCTTGCAATCATAGCAGGAAGATCTTTTCTTTTTAGTGAATGATTCTTAAATAATGGTTTTTAGCCTGGAATTAGGCTAGATGCATAAGAATTAACTGGGAAAATCTGTTAAAAATACTAATTTCCAGTCTCAACTCAGACCTCCCAGAATTAGAATCTCCAGGGGTGGGCTAAGGGATCTGTATTTTTAACAAGTGCCCCAGGTGATTCTGATGCCCTGCCAGGTTTGGAAACCACTGTGTTACAGTCTTTTTTTTTTTTGAGGAAGATTAGCCCTGAGCTAACTACTGCTAATCCTCCTCTTTTTGCTGAGGAAGACTGGCCCTGAGCTAACATCTGTGCCCATCTTCCTCTATTTTATACGTGGGACGCCTACCACAGCATGGCTTTTTGGCAAGCGGTGCCATGTCCGCACCCGGGATCTGAACCGGTGAACCCTGGGCCGCCAAGAAGCAGAACATGCAAACTTAATCGCTGTGCCACCGGGCTGCCCCTGTGTTACAGTCTTAATGACTGGAGTTATCCCACTCTCAATCTGCCACATCCATCTCTATCCCAGGTCTCATCTCCCAAGGAGATCAACACACATGTGAGGCAGCAGCATTACAGGTACCCGGCCAGTTCCTGCTCTGACTTCTTTTCTCCTACCCTCCCATCTTGACTGCCCCTCCTCTACCCTAAACTTCCGAAAGCAGACTGGGCAGATAAACTACAACTGACTAGGGGCTGGCCACATGGCCGAGCGGTTAAGTTCGCACGCTCCGCTGCAGGCGGCCCAGTGTTTCGTTGGTTCGAATCCTGGGTGCGGACATGGCATTGCTCATCAAACCACAATGAGGCAGCGTCCCACATGCCACAACTAGAAGGACCCACAATGAAGAATATACATCTATGTACTGGGGGGCTTTGGGAAGAAAAAGGAAAAAATAAAATCTTAAAAAAAAAATACAACTGACTAGATCCCCTTTTCTGGATTAAAAATCACATTTCTGTTATGTTTATCAGACCGACCCGAGTTACTGGACCTGAGTTGGCCTAAACTGCCTAAATCACAGTTTACAGCAATCTCTTGTGATAGCAATATCACTTAATTCTTTGAACTTTATCTGCCAAAAATCACGTTGTGATTTGTAGTAAACAAAAATTAATCTATCAGCAGATCTATCAGCAGATGGTCTGAGTAGGTCTTTTTAATATTTTATTAAAAGTAAAAATCAGGACTTCAGTTACAAAAGGTCCAAAAATCATTTATTTCCTCAACAAACTGCCCCTTTGTGTGGCACTCCAGAGGATTTTCCACCCCAGAGTGATGCGCCACAGAAAAACAAGGAGGACGTGAGTAAGAGGTATGTCTTTTTTTATAAAAGACGAAAAGAGCACTTGTGAAAGAGGAGGTGAGAAAAGAGAAAGCTACAGGCCACAGGCCCATTTTCAAGCAAGGATACAAACTGAAGTCAAAGATCTAGAAACTGATTCCCATTTAACAATCCACGTGCCCACAGCCATTACAAAATGTGTCTGTATACCCCCTCCAAGTACTTCAGGTCAGACTGCACCTCAGCATTCTGGATAGAGAATGGGCAAGCGAAGCCTCAGACGCCAAGTACAGAAGCAGTAAGAAAAGTAACAGAGAGGACATTCTGACTCAATGTAGCATGTGCAGAGTTGGAGTTAATATGGAAAGAGAGAAGTGAGGGTGCGCTGACACTGTGATGTGGAGAGTAAATGAAGAGCACTTACTATGTGCTGTGTGCTAAGCAATTTATAGCCACTACCTTGTTAAACATTCACAACCTCCCTACGAGACAAGTGGAATGGAGAGCATCAGTGTGAGGAGGAGCCAGTCAGCATGCTACACTGACTTCCTCCAGCACCGCTTCTGAAAGCCCCAGAGCAGGCTGGGAAGCTGGGGACATGTGAGGTGGAAGACTGAGGGAGTGAGGTTGGGGATGTTAGCCAGGACACAGCTGAGATGGCTGAGTGAGACAGGGAGGAGAAGGAAGTGGGGGAAGTTGGGAGGTGGGATGCTAACAGATGGAGTTCACAGAAAGGGTAAAGAATGTGGTGAACACACAGAACCAAGGGCAGGTATCCTGGAAACTGGGATGAGGTTTTATTTTGAAATGTCCAAATTATAATACACCAACAATAATATCCTTTGCAACTATTACAATTTATGATGAAAAAATGATGAAACATTTTGGAGGTCAACTTACAAATGTGTAAGGGGATACAAAGCTTTTCAAATTATTTGATGGGGTATTTGAGCAAAAAAGTTTGCAGTGGCCTTGCTCTCTTTGCAGGAGATCTGACCGCACCCAAGAGTAAGCCACAACTGAGTTAACCCAGTCAAATTAATACCATCCCCCTTGCAAGTGACCATTCAAACCAGCAGCGATTGGTCCAGGAATGGACAAATGCCTTCATCTGGGTCAATGATATTTTGAGGAAGTTAGCTGGAAGCTTCTGAGAATAGATTCCTGCTATCTGAGACAACCACAGGGAAAGACTTCTATATATTGTTGCCTAGAACTGCTGCTGCCATCTCACTACCAGCTTGTGGAAAAAGGCAGGTAGAGCCAAGAAAATCGAGGGGAAGTGGAGCCAGGGCCACTAGATTAAGTCAATCCTGAAACCACTATACTTCTCGACTGCCAATTATGAGAGCTTAGACACCTGCATATTTTGAAGCCAGCGTGGGTTGGATTCTGTTACTTACAGAGAAGAGCATCTTAACTAATACAAATACTTTCCCTTAACTTCTGAGAGGCCAGAGCCTACCAAATGCTTAATATCTGGACAAGGATCACCTCCTTGCCAAAGTCTTCACTAAGCTCTACAGCAAGGAGGTCCTCTCTTGGTCCTCTCAACCAGCCTTTCACTTACCTCTTTCTTTGTACTATAGTTATCATGTCGCTTCCACTGCTCCCCAAGGCCTACAGAATAAAAACTTAACATGGCTCAGAATGCCCTCCTGGTCAGGCCCCTGGCCCCCTCCCAATCTCCTGTCCCACACCCTCCAGTGACTGCTGGAAGCTGCAGTCATGCTCAGGGTCCGGTAGTTCAAACACTTGCTGTTCTTTAAAGCTTCTTTGCCTTTGAGAACAGGTTATTCCCATTTCCTGAGACACTACTGCCCACCTTGTGCACTCAGCAAACACCTACAAGATTCAGCTTATGCACAGACAGTCCCATTTTCTTCCCTGCCCCTGAACCCAAGACAGACAGATCTCCTTGATCTTGTAGTAGTTACTTCATGGTATTGTTAGTCTATTTTCATGTCTGCTATCTTCTTTAGACAGTGACAAGGATGATGTTCTATTCATCTTGGTATTCCCAGTGCCTAGCACATTTTGGGCACCTAGTAAATATTTGGTAAATGAATCTGTGTAAACATCTTATCTGCATTAGGAATCTGTGACACTCGTGGGGACTAAGGACACTTCATTCATTTTTGTATCTAAAGAGCCTAGGAAAGTGTCTGACACATAGCTGATGTCAATAGCTATTTGTGAAAATAAGTTCCTTCTGCCAATCTAGAGGATATTTAATTTAAGGCACTGTTATTCTCCTTTCCTCTGTCCTCCCCCTGGGTCGCACGATTAAGAATGTTCTAACAACTGTGCGCTCAAACCTGCCTCCTTCTCACGACTAACCCTCAGAAGCCAGCATCCTGTCTGCCAGGACGGGGCACAATCTGCCGCAGGGGCCTTAAGTTTTTGACGCTGCCCGCCATTTCGTCCCCGCGGTTTACTAGGGGATAGAACGTCTGAGAAAAGCACAGCTCCCAGCGGCGCCCACGTCGGGACCGAGGAAGGGGTCCCTGCTTCTCCCGCCCCTGCGGCTGACAAGCAGCGAACTGGAGCGGGGATGCGCCCTGGCGGTGTCCAGGCCCCAGAGCCCCCGTGTGCAGGGGGGGACATGGGGACCGTAAAGCCCAAGGTCACACAGCGAGCCCGGGTCAAGAACGGGCCCAAACGCTGGGTTTCCGCGGGGCTCGCGGGCCGGGGAGTCGGGAGCCCAGTGCCCTCCTTCCCCCCGCTGTGACGGAACGAGGTCTCACCGCAGGCCGCCGCCGCCCCTCGCCCGCTCCGCTCGGGCTCCCGGCGCCGCTCCGCCGCTGGCGCAGAACCCGCAGCTGTTGTCCTGGTTTCACGGGCGACGGGCATCGGCCACTTCCGGTACCCGGGCTGCACTCCAGCCAATCAGCGCGCGCCGCACTCCGCCGGAGGCACAGGTGGTCAGCGCGCCGACGCCTCCTCACCTTCTCCAGCCTTGCGTTTTGGCGGTTCTCGGCCTAACCCGAGTGCCATCTCGCCTCTGCCTGCACAATCCGCTCCCTGGAGTGGCCCTGTGTCCCGGACGATGCCCACTGCAGCCCCAGGATCACTGACGAGCTGGGTCCTCCGGATTTCCTAGAACGGCTCCAGGGATGCACTTCCGCCCTGTGACCGGCCACTCTGCGCGCTGCCGTCGCTCCTCAAGCATGGATCTGGGTTTGAGAAGTTGGGATTTGGCTTCCCTTTCTCGCGGGGTAGGGGTTGCGCGACCCCCTTAATGCCTCCAACCCGCACCCCTTATCCCGTCGCTCCTTTCCCTAAGCTCCGTGAGTCTGGTAAACACATTCCCCTAGATCTCTGGAAGAGGCTGGTCCTCTGCTGGGGCGAGAGGAGACCTGCTCTGAGGTCAGAAAGGGCTTACAGGAGGGAGTGGTGTTTGGACTGAAATCTGATCTGAAGGTTTGCGGGAATTTACCCAGGTTAAGAGTGAGGGGGAGAGCGGTTCAGGCAATGGGAACAGCATTCTACGCTAGCTAGCCTTATCTCTTGAACAAGCTTGGCTCGTTTCTCCTCAGAACCTGTGTGCTTGTCACGTGTTACTTCCTCTGCCCTTCCTTTGCCCAACGAGCTTCGTGTTATTCATGTCCCCGGTTGGAGAAGCCTTCCTATCTAATGTTGCCTCAAACTACACCACCCCTCCCACATATCAAATACAGGGAAGGACTATGATTGGCCCTGTTTGGGTCTGGTGCTCAACCCTGAACCAATCATTGTACCCACGGGAAAAGGGTGGTAGAATTGATGTGGATTAAGGCTGCCCCAGCTAGAGAAGCCCAAGGTGACCTGGCCTACATGCCAAACTATATGACCCAGTGGACTTTTTTTATGGTATGAATTAGGACTGCCCCAGGGAGAGAAGCCCGGGGCATCCTCACCTGCATGCCGATCTATATGGCCAGATTCGTATCTAAAGTTGTATGACCGCACAATAACCAGACCCCATCTGCACTGAAATCATTTAATGACTTTTTACATCATCTTTTCTTTTTTTTCCCAGTAAAAATAAGTCACGTACCCATGCCTTATAAAATTAGCCCTAACCCTCAACTCAGGGCAGCAGCAGGAGCTCTGACTGCCCGTGGGTCTTGTCCCCACACACCAGCTCTGCCTGCCCATGGGTCCTGTCCCCATGCCAGCAGGGGCAGCAGCAGGAGCTCTGACCGCCCGTGGGTCCTGTCCCCACGCACCAGCTCTGCCTGCCCATGGGTCCTGTCCCCATGCCAGCGGGGGCAGCAGAAGCGGCGGCAGCAGAAGCTCTGACTGCCCATGGGTCCTGTCCCCATGCTATTCCACACTATTCTCTAAATAAAAGAGCACTACTGCCAGATCTTGAGAGTCTAAGAAATCTTTCTTTTGACTCCTCGGCTCACCGACCCCGCATCATTTCTGGTGGCCCGTACAGGGAATTGCTTCATCGGCTTGTGAGCTCGAGTTCTGGTAAGTGCCCTTTTCTTCCTTGTGCCTTTCTCTTTTTCAAGGATGGATCTAAATTCACTTCTCCATCGGGAACTTTCTTGGATGGCTGTATGAATCCACGTTTGCTGCCCATGGCTACTCTATGGGGCAAATTGTGGCATTCAGCCTGAAGAGAATCAGTACCTTAAGCCTGAGGGTGATGGAAAATGAATTAATCCATTCCTTCCTGCTCTTTTTCAAGGATGGATCTAGATTCACTGCTCCATCGGGAACTTTCTCGGACAGCTGTATGAATCCACGTTTGCTGCCCATGGCTACTCCATGGGGCAAATTGTGGCATTCAGCTTGAAGAGAATCAGTACGTTAAGCCTCAGGGTGATGGAGAATGAATTAATCCATTCCTTCCTGACTCTATCTCTAATAGACAAATTTTACGTGGGCGCGGGTCGGCAACTTAAGTCATTAGGACGGCCGCCAATCTCCAAGACTCCCGTGGAAGGTTTCTTTTCCTAAGGCTGGATTGGGATCCCTCCCTCTGGCACCTGACCACGCTCTGAACTGCAAGGAAAGTCCCACTCGGGGCTCCAGTTCAAGGGAAGTACCAAACTCTAACCTTTGGTGGAGTATGGGAACCCCTTCTTGGGAGAATGGCTCCAGGATGCAATTGGGTAGAATGTCCCCCAGACTGGCGGAAAATTCCTCACTGTCTTTCTCTTTCTCACTGTCTTTGTCCTTTTATCCTGGGGACCATTCGCCAGGCACCTATTACTGTCAGGCAGAATAGGGAAGATGTTCAAGGGATGCCCCCATCATCCCTTGCTACAGGAACTCCATTGGGGGGATTTTCAAGGTAATGGCTCCCTTTCTCTGGGACCATTCACCAGGCACCTATTCCTGCCAGGCAGAATAGGGAAGATGTTCAAGGGATGCCCCCATCATCCCTTGCTACAGGAACCCCAATGGGGGGATTTTCAAGGTAATGGCCCCTTTTCTTTCTCCTTTTCTCTCGGGGACCATTCACCAGGCCTATGCTGTCAGGCAGAATAGGCACCAGGCACCTGTTACTGCCAGGCATAACAGGGAAGGTATACAAGGGATGCAATGCCGGGGGACGCCCCCATCACCCCTTGCTATAGGAACCCCACAGCAGGAACAATGGGTAGGACGCTGCCCTAGGTTCAGGGGGGATTTTTCAAGGTAATGGACCCGTCTCTTTCATCTCTCTTCTTTTGTCTTTTTGCTTCTTAGGACCATGGGAGCCTCTAATTCCATACCTAAGGATTCACCTTTGGGTTGCCTTTTAAATAACTGGGCAAAATTTGACCTACAAGATCTAAAGAAAAAGAGACTTATCTTTTACTGTAATACTGTTTGGCCTCAATATAATCTGAATGAGGAAAAATGGCCCACGAACGGCACCCTAAGCTTTAATGCTATTCTTCAACTAGACTTATTTTGCCACCGCCTGGGAAAATGGTCTGAAATCCCTTATATTCAAGCATTCATGGCCCTATATCAAGATCCTGAACTCAGAGCGGTTTGTCGCATGTGTCTAGCTTCCCCAACTAAAGTAGAAAAACCTACCCCTGATATATTAGATGATGACTGCCTTGTTAGACCTATTCCTAAGGCTCCTGCAGCTCCTGCCGAATTAACCTCTCCTGAGGATTCAAAGACCAAAATGCCCCCTCCCTATGACAGGGAACCTAAAATTGAGGCCTCAATCCCCATAAGCCCTACAGGTCGTACGAGGAGTGGGACCTCATATAATACTGGACATTTCCCCCTCCGTGAGGTAGCAAATAGGGAAATGGGGACCATTCGAGTCCATGTGCCATTTTCAATGTCGGATATGGCTCAACTTAAGACACAACTGGGTAGATATTCAGAAAATCCTTCCCAGTTTATTGATGGCTTTCAACAGCTTGTCATGATGTTTGAGTTGACTTGGCAGGATATTTATATTATTCTTACTCATTGCTGTGCTACAGACGAAAGAAATCGTGTTTGGGCGGGAGCACGTGAATTTGCAGATGAATTACATACTAGAGACAGACATAAATATCCAGTAGGAGGCACTGCGGTGCCAGATACAGACCCCAAATGGGATTATAGGGATGAAGAAGATCGAGGACAACGGAATCACATGGTTACTTGTTTAATAGAGGGAATGAAGAAGGGATTTACAAAGCCAGTCAATTTTGACAAACTCCGGGAAATAACTCAGGGAACAGATGAAAACCCTGCCCTTTTTCAGGGTAGATTAGCCGAAGCTATTCGAAAATACACTAATCTAGACCCTACTTCTCCAGAAGAGATTACTATTCTAAACATGCACTTCATTAGTCAATCTGCCCCAGACATACGCCGAAAACTGACTAAACTGGCCTTAGGTCCTCAAACACCTGTACAGAGACTTTTGGAGGTTGCTACTCAGGTGTTTAATGATCGGGACTTGACTCTTAAACAGGATAAGGACAGGGGCTGGCCCCGTGGCCGAGTGGTTAAGTTCGCGCGCTCCGCTGCAGGCGGCCCAGTGTTTCGTTGGTTCGAATCCTGGGCGCGGACATGGCACTGCTCATCAGACCACGCTGGGGCGGCGTCCCACATACCACAACTGGAAGAACCCACAACGAAGAATATACAACTATGTACCGGGGGGCTTTGGGGAGAAAAAGGAAATAATAAAATCTTAAAAAAAAAAAAAAAAAATTTAAAAAAAAAAAAAAAAAAACAGGATAAGGACAGAAGGGCAAAGTTACAGGGTAAGGTACAGGCTCACATTTTAGCAGCCGCCATTGAGGATATGCCACAGAAACAGGCTAACCAGGGGCCCAAGTCTCAGACTACCATTGCCGGAGGCTCAGGTAAGTCCCCTTGTTACCGTTGCGGTCAATTTGGACACTGGAGCAGACAGTGCCCAAGAAAGGATCTTCCTCCTGGGCCTTGTCCTCTCTGCAAGCGAGAGGGACATTGGAAGCGTGATTGTCCTCGCCTCCAGAGTGAGGAGGGGCCAAGAACACACTTCCCTGCCCGGAGATGTGATCCTGAGGACTCCGCCTGAAGGGGCCCAGAGGCCAGTCCGGCTCCCATCACCATCGAACAGACTGAGCCCCGGGTTACTCTGGATGTGGAAGGTAAGCAGATCAATTTTCTTATTGATACGGGAGCCACTTACTCTGTACTTGTTTGCCACTCTGGCCCAACTCGTAAGTCCCATCAAAAAATTGTCGGAATAGAGGGTGACTCTAAGTTTTGTTACCAAACTTTTCCTTTAAGTTGCCAATATCGGACTCAGGTGTTTTCCCATACTTTCCTAGTCCTACCTACTTGTCCTACTCCACTATTAGGGCGAGACTTAATGAAAAAATTAGGAAGCCAATTTATTCTAACACGTGAGGAGGATGGCTTGTTTGTCGCTCTGTTTCCAAGCTCTGTTGTTTCCCAGATACCCCCTAATATTCCACCCCATATATGGGAAGCAGTTGATCCCCAGGTTTGGGTCTGCTCTCTTCCAGGAAGAGCTATAACAGCACAGCCAGTCTCTATTACTCTGCGGGACTCTTCTCTTGTACCTCATAAGAGGCAATACCCTTTAAAGCCAGAGGCAATTGAAGGATTACAACCCCTTATATTAAAATTCCTCAGTCATGGCCTCCTTAAACGATGTCAATCTCCCTATAACACTCCTATCTTGCCTGTAAAGAAGCCAAATGGAGATTATCGTTTGGTCCAGGACCTCCGCATAATTAATGAGGCCACTGTTCCCATCCACCCCATCGTGCCTAACCCATATACTATACTTTCCCAGATCCCAGAAAACTCAAATTGGTTTACAGTCCTGGACTTAAAGGATGCTTTCTTTTGCATTCCTCTGGATGAAACTTCCCAACCTTTATTCGCCTTCGAATGGAAGTTTCCTAATGAAGCTCTTCCCATCCAGCTGACGTGGACAGTCCTCCCTCAAGGTTTTCGGGATAGCCCCCATTTGTTGGAAGTGCCCTAGGCAAGGATCTGCGGGATGTCCAACTCCCTGTTGGTGGTTTAATACAATATGTTGATGATATTCTTATTTGTAGTCCCACAAAGGAGAATTCTGACCACAATACTGTCCTTGTCCTTAATTTCTTAGCCCAACGGGGATATCGAGTGTCCCCACAAAAGGCACAAATTTCACAACAGCAAGTGACCTATCTGGGCTATGATTTAACCCCAGGACACCGGGCACTTTCTATAAATAGGAAAAAGGCTATCCTCGAACTTGGACCACCAAAGACAAAAAGACAACTTCGCACTTTCCTGGGTATGGCAGGATTCTGTCGTTTATGGCTTCCTCAGTTCGGGGTAATAGCAAAGCCTTTATATGAAGCAACCAGAGGACCTGATACAGAACCTCTGGAGTGGACACAAAAGGAAGACAAGGCCTTTCGGTCGATTCAACAGCAGCTGTCTTCCGCCCCAGCCCTGGCTCTGCCTAATGTCAACAAGCCTTTTACTCTTTATGTTACTGAAAAGCAGGGCCAGGCCCTCGGTACCCTTACCCAAAGACTAGGCCCAGAGACCCAAATTGTTGGATATTTCTCAAAGACTCTAGACTCAGTGGCTTTGGGATGGCCAGCATGCTTAAGGGCTGTAGCAGCTACAGCTCTGTTAGTTGAGGAGGCCTCTAAATTAACTATGGGACAGCCTTTAACAGTCATGACTCCTCATCAGGTACAAGCCGTGTTACAAACTAAGGGACATCAATGGATGACTGGAGGACGTCTAACTAGATATCAGGCCATCCTCCTAGACACCCCTGATATCATCCTTAAGGTTTGTCAGACAATTAATCCAGCAGAACTTATGCCCGGTCCTGACTACCCGGTCCAGGATTTGGAGCATACATGCTCTGAAGTCATAGAACAAGTGTACTCTAGCAGGCCTGACCTGCTGGATTCCCCCATAGATAATGCAGAGGACACCTGGTTTATAGATGGCAGTAGCTTCATAGACCAGGGCATACGCAAGGCAGGCTATGCCATAGTAAACGCCTTGCACGTCATTGAGGCACAAGCCCTTCCAGCCAATACGTCTGCCCAAAAGGCTGAACTCATCGCTCTTACCCGAGCCCTTCACCTGGGGAAGGATATGGTTATCAATATTTACACTGACTCAAAATATGCCTTCTTGGTCCTACATGCACATGGGATCATATGGAAGGAAAGGGGTTTACTCAATACAAAAAACTCCCCTATCAAATACGGAGCAGAGATTTTGGCTCTTTTAAACTCTGTGCTTCTTCCTAAGCAAGTGGCTGTGGTCCACTGCCGGGGACATCAGAAGGATTTATCCCTTGAGAGCAAGGGTAATAACTTTGCTGACCGGGAAGCTAAACGGGCAGCTAAACAAAGTACCCTTTTAAGCTTACTTCCCACTCCCCCTGCTTTGGGCCTTATTAGTCCTACTTATACAACTCAAGAAATAACCCTGGCTCAAGAAAAGGGATATACCCAGGAAACAAAACAGTCTTGGCTAATTAATGACCAGGGGAAAATTTTCATACCTAAAAGCCTTCAATGGAAATTAGTTAATGGAATTCATCAGGCTACCCATTTTGGCAAACAATCATTGACTCAGCTACTTTTTAAATCCTTCGATGGCCTTACTTTCCATGCCACCATTAGACAGGTCTGCCGCTCTTGTGCCACTTGTGCTCGAATCAATCCAGAGCGGGCAGCTAGACCACCTCCTCTGTTACAGCCTATACAACGACGGGGCACCTATCCCGGGGAAGATTGGCAACTAGATTTTACCCAAATGCCTCCATGCCATGGCTATAAATATCTTTTGGTATTTGTCGATACCTTTACAGGCTGAATTGAGGCCTTCCCTTGTCGAAGTGAACGGGCAGTCGAAGTAACAAAGGCCCTTTTAAGGGAGATTATCCCACGCTTTGGTTTGCCCAAGACCTTACAGAGCGATAACGGTCCTTCTTTCATAGCTCAAATAACACGACAGGTCTCTTCAGCTTTGCAAATCAAATATTATTTGCATTCGGCTTGGCATCCACAATCCTCAGGGAAAGTGGAGAAGGCAAACCATACTCTAAAACGACATCTCTCCAAGTTAAGTCTCGAGACTCAGGAAACTTGGATTACACTCTTACCTATTGGCCTCCTACGGATGAGAACGGCCCCTAAGAACAGTTTAGGGTTAAGCCCTTATGAAATCCTGTATGGAAGGCCCTTTTTATCCACCGATATAGTATTGGACTCTGATTACCACCAACTATGTCGATATTCCATTGAGGCTGGTCTGATGCGAAAGGAACTAAATGACTATGTTAATAATCATTTGCCTAAGCCGGAACCATTGTCTGCCGATATACCTTGCCAGGTAAATCCTGGAGATATGGTATATTTAAAAGATTGGAAAACACATTCCGACGGGTTAAGCCCAAAATGGAAAGGACCTTATCAAGTCATTCTAAGTACCCCCACAGCTGTAAAATTAAAAGATCATACTTCTTGGACTCGTATTTCCCGAGTAAAACTTATGACTTCTTTTCAGGACAAAGCTGATCCAGATCCTGCTGTTCAACCGGACTACTCTGGTGAACAAACCGGTGATTTAAAACTGCTTTTTAGAACAAAATGAACCCTATCTTGATTATTTTCTTCTTATCACCTTTTGTAATGACAGACAATTTTTTTTTCAAATGGGCTCAACATTATGCTGAGCTCCGTAACCAAACCACGTGTTGGGTTTGTGGACTCTTGCCTCTGTCTGGTACTTCTGGCCTCCCCTGGTGGGTCTCACCCCTCCAGGGTACTGATTGGCATGCAATGCTTCTCTTCACTACACAATATATTTCTAGCTCTTCTCTTCTACAAGATTCATCTATTACTAACCATAATGTCTCCTTGTGGCCATCTGTCTCTGATACCTGGGAGCTCCCAGGCCACAATCAAACCTTTTCCTTCAATACTAGTGCCCAAACACTAACTAGATTTGCCTTGTCACAAGTGGATCATGAACAACAAGTTCCAAAGGTAAAGTCCCCAGCTTATCGATACACACAGGATGGACTATATCAAATTTGGGACGAATATATTTGGCTCACTCCTACTAGTGGTCAACTCAGTCAAAAGGCCACTATATGTTGGGAACAAACCAATCACACCTGTGATATGTGGCCTAATAGCACCCGACCTATGGGACAAATTCCCCGTCATATGTGTTCTCATATCATAAGCTTAAAAAATACTGATTGGTTTGGGACTGACTGGGATAGACGGCCCAGCACACGTTGGTTAGCCCCTAATGGCACTCAGTGGCTATGTGGCTCCAACTTAGGGCCTTGGCTGCCACCTGGATGGATTGGACGATGCACCCTAGGTTTCGTCTGGATGCAGGGTAGAACTACATTTAGTATATCTCCCCCTGCTAACCTACCCAACCTGCAACAGCGCTGGACCCGCTCTGTCTTCCACTGGTATGACCATCTTTCCTCAATTTTCCTTCCCCAATTAGGAATTGAAAGTGTCATCTTGCACATGGAAGTCCTAAACAAATTTACTATGAAGGCATTAAATGATACACAACATAGCCTTTCGCTGCTCGATTTAGAAGTATCCCAAATGCGTAAGGCAGTCCTCCAAAACCAAATGGCACTGGATGTCTTGACAGCAGCACAGGGGGGCACCTGTGCCATTATAAAAACTGAATGTTGTGTCTATATTCCTGACTACCATCAAAATATCTCCGGCTTCCTGTCTGATATGAGCCACCAAATTAAGTCCATGTCTGACCCTGCCCTATCTCTAAATGACTGGTTGAACTCTTGGTCAGGTCCAGGTTTCTGGACTGCTATCAAAACCTTATTCATTGGGTTAATCATACTGCTTGTATTTCTTATTATAATTTGTTGTCTGTTTCGTTGTTTGTCTTCCGCATGTCAACAAAGTTTCACCTCCTGGACCACCACTCGTCAAATGATTCTCTCGTCCCCAGAGGCTCTGGATGCCTTGTCAGCCTTGGACTCCACGGGTGCAGTCTTCCGGTCCGCTGAACCTCCTACCTATACCTATGGCCCCATTTAGGGACAGCTCTATGACCTTGTACAGCCGGAAGTAGTTACAGAAGACTGACCGTCGTCCATATCCCCAAAAGATTTCGGGGCCAAATGGGTTCGGGGGGGTTTATGATGTGGATTAAGGCTGCCCCAGCTAGAGAAGCCCAAGGTGACCTGGGCTACATGCCAAACTATATGACCCAGTGGACTTTTTTTATGGTATGAATTAGGACTGCCCCAGGGAGAGAAGCCCGGGGCATCCTCACCTGCATGCCGATCTATATGGCCAGATTCGTATCTAAAGTTATATGACCGCACAATAACCAGACCCCATCTGCACTGAAATCATTTAATGACTTTTTACATCATCTTTTCTTTTTTTTTCCAGTAAAAATAAGTCATGTACCCATGCCTTATAAAATTAGCCCTAACCCTCAACTCAGGGCAGCAGCAGGAGCTCTGACTGCCCGTGGGTCTTGTCCCCACACACCAGCTCTGCCTGCCCATGGGTCCTGTCCCCATGCCAGCGGGGGCAGCAGCAGGAGCTCTGACCGCCCGTGGCTCCTGTCCCCATGCACCAGCTCTGCCTGCCCATGGGTCCTGTCCCCATGCCAGCGGGGACAGCAGAAGCGGCGGCAGCAGAAGCTCTGACTGCCCATGGGTCCTGTCCCCATGCTATTCCACACTATTCTCTAAATAAAAGAGCACTACTGCCAGATCTTGAGAGTCTAAGAAATCTTTCTTTTGACTCCTCGGCTCACCGACCCCGCATCAGAATTAGCCAAGTCACCTTCTGCCCCACTTGTGGGGGCGGGCTTCTGTGTTTCTTGTGGAATGGGGAAGGGAATGACTACCCTCAGAAAGGGATATTGTGTATTTATCGAGTACACAACAGAGCAGAAAAGGAAACGTCCTCTTGAGTTCATTGTTGGGATTAGGCCCCAGACTCTAGGGTCCATCACTTTAGCCATCCTCACACCAATAGCTTTAGTTCTTTTGCCCCGCTGTCTGCAACTGCCCGGGAAGTCTCTTAACCCTGGATCAGTTGAACTGTCCATTTTCCTTGCCTAGGCTGCTAATAACTAGGGGGAAGAAAATCGCATTTTGGAGAAAAGCCCCAAGATAAATGTATGGTCTCCACTTCCCAGAGGTCTTCACTGCTGTCCAGAAATCATTTTCTGTTTCCCTAGTCAGCTTGCCTACCATTTTTCACGATTGCTGTTTCAGCCTTTTCTGTTCTGCTCAAGCCATGATCCAAGAGGAGTCAATTACCATCACAGTCATTGCCA